GCCTCAGTTGATCAGTTTGTAAAATCGGGAGGAATCGTGAAAAGTAGGAGCTCCCTGCTGGGACTGCTGTAAAGACTTGGAGAGATCACTCCTTCATTCAACAAGCACCACTGTGCACCAAGAGCTGGGTGAGGATGTAATGGGCAACACAGCAGACACAGACATGGCTCTTGTCCTCATGAAGTCCAGCAGCGGTTAGGGAGACCACAGAATCACAGAATAATTACAGAATCTGATGAGCCAAATGGACAATGTTGGGGTGAGGACTGGAGAGATCACTCGAGGAGGCTGCGGTGCAGGGGAGAGGGGTGTGCCGCAGCAAGGAAACTGGCCTGGGTCGAGGGTCAGGCAATGGCACCCAAAGGAGAAGAAACCAATGCTCAGCTCTAACCTGATCCCAAAGGCAATTTCTGATCTGTGGAGCAAGTGCCAGGAGTGCAGAGTTAGAAACCTCAGTCCTTCTAGAAATTCCATCTGCCTCTCCCAAGCTATAGTGATAACCCAAGTCATGCCAGTGATGTCTTGAGCATAAAGACCAAGGACTTCCAAAAAGACCTCCAGAGGCTCCTGCCAGGAACCTGCCAGTGTCCAGGACAGGCACACAGACACCTGCCGACAGCCCACTCCTGGCACAGGAGCCTCGCTAGGAAGTCAGGTCTAACCCAGGACAACTGGGTCCTTGGGCAGTTGGGCTCATTCATTTGGGCCCAAGCAGCAGTCAGTCTAAATCACAAAGTGTCCTTAAAAGACGGTGGTTGTACCAGGAAGCACTAAAACATTCCACCAGAACCAGACAAATGCTCACGGTGACCTGCTTCAGTGACCACATAAAAAATGGCAATCAGCCACCAGCTAAGCCCAGCCTCTGGCACCTGCTTCCATGGTGCCCAGAAAGTTCTCAGAGATGCTTTCCAAAAGATGCTCAAATCCTCCCAGCTCCCAGAAGACACCGAAAAACACCGCTACAACTATTTATAGGGCCCTAACTGGCTGGGCCAACATTTCATAAGCCATGTCTGTGTGAGCTTCAGCTCACGCCCTGTGCCGACATTAAGTTAGTGAGACCCGAATTTCTATCCTCCACTCACACAGCCACCGAATGCTCTGTACATTTCTTCACTTTGTGTCCACAAACGCGCTGCATTAGGAACAGACAAGGCCAGCACAAGCATCAAGTCAGCCTCCAAGTTACAAAAATCATCTACTAGTCTACATGTAAAATTTTATTATACTACTTTAGACTATTTATTATATTATATCTAGTAACCCAAGCTTCATCTGCTTGAGGAAAGCTGTTTAAAAGAATTGCCCCACCCCACCCCACACCCAAAAAAAAAAAGAATAATGGAGAAGACCCCATGCAGTGTGGGCGCCATCCAGAAAACGTCCCATAGCAAATGCAGGATCTAAAAGGGGGTGCACCCACCGCTCCAGCCGGGAGCTGTCCCATGGACGGGAGGGGAAGACCAAGGAGGCAAGCAGCTGTTGGGGTGTGAGGGTCAGAGAAGATGAGGTCTTTGCTTATTTCAAGTCATAAGGATGCAATGCTTGAAGCCTTGAGGGTTTAAGGTTGGTTTCACCTCAGACATGAGAAGGAGACAGTGAGAGACAGAGAGAAGGAGGGAGAGTGAGAGAGAGATATGAACAGGGCTTGATGGCACTGTCTGCATTCCCGAGCCCACACTTCAGCAACTCTGGACCCAGAGTCGGGTCCTGCCGGGCACAACGGAAGGACCATCACTGGAAATGACGGTTCTTCGGTGTAGAGTCCCTGGGGTCTTCCTTCTGAATGTCATCACCACCATTCTGGCAGGAGCTCCCCCTTCCCTGGTGAACAACCCTTCCCCCTTTAGAAAATCTCCAAACCTCAGTTACTCTCCCAGATCCTCACCACCACCTCACCCCACCCCAACAGCCAAAGAAAGATATAGAAAGGACCAAGAGGTCACTCGGCTGAAACAGTCCCCACAACACACCCCACCCACACAGTGTCTCCCCAACATGCCTGCTTCTGGAAGGGCTGGACTTCCTGGGAACACCTGCTGGGGGTGGGGGAGCCTGCTGCCTCCACATTCCAGCATTGACAGCCCTCTTTGGGGGCGAGGGTTGTTCCAGGAGGGGACAGCAGTATTGACAAGTGGCACTGCCCTCAGGCCCCACATTCTCAACAGCAGAGACAACCTGCCTTCCCTCTAAACAAACTCATTTGTTCCCTCCAAAACATCTCTGAGCACCCAGGGCCTGTGGCCTCAGCAGAGCATGGCCCTCCCTGACACGGCCTTTGTTGGGCTGTCAAGTGTCCATTTCCCCCTCTGCATTGTCCCTCTGTCCGCCTGAGTCGCCCCAAGTACAGCTACGGGATGACCCATGACAAGCGTCTAGCAGACCCATGAGTCTGGCCTGGGAGGGCCTGCAATTGCACTTTTGTACCTGTTTCAAAGCAGAAGTTAATTTTCACATAATATCTTATGCTACAGTCCAGCGTATAAAATGAACCTTTTAAGGTGAATTACTCTGACTGCTGTAGGTGCCAGAGGCCTGTCAGACAGAACACCAATAGCCTCAGGGACACAGTTTGATAATCCCACAGTATTGAAGGATGTGGAGGCACCCATTCTGAATAATACGTATGCAGTTCCCAGGTTTATCCTGACTTTTTAATCCTAAGAACCTAAGACTGAAGGGGAAATACCGCCTAACATATCTCTCCCATGTTAGGGAGAATCCCAGACTGGGTCACACCTTTAGTGGGCGGTAATGAATTTCTTGGGGATGCTATTAGGCAAGGTATTTCCAGGATTCTTTCAAGGAATTTCTGACTCCCTTCTAATGCTCCAGAGTTTGGGGATATCCCTGGCTCCACGACCCCAGGGAGGTCGTTAGTGGGTTCCTATTAGAAAGGAGGCAGGAGTATCGGTGGATACCACCAGCATCCCTAAGGATGGCTGGGGACCCTGCAAACGGGACTGCCATGATTCAGTGGAAGCCTGAGGCTGTCAGAAGAGGCTGCCCTGGGAGGAGAACTGTGCTCAGGACCAAAGCACAATTAGCTACCATTTCTTATTTCTGGCACAGAACCCCACATACAACTCCAGAGTCCCCCGTTTTCCCTTCTCCACCTTTTCAAAGGAAGGTGAGAGACACAAGAATCTATTTGATTTTGGAGAACAGAAGGAAAGGGTAGCCTAAGATGGGACCTAATCCAAGAGCTGCAGAAACCCAGGAAAGCATTGCTCAGTACAGGGGACTCTTGATCAACTAGCCAAGAACAGCATGTTCTTTTATGTTTAGAAATAAAGACGATAGGGCCTCCCCAGTGGTGCAGCAGTTGAGCGCTGGGCTGCGAAGCTGCCCGCAGCCTCTGCAGCACCAGTTTGATCCCTGGCCACCGGCAAGGGTCCCACATGGCATGCAGACCTCTCCTGCCGTGCCCGCTGCTCCCCTCAGCAGTGTATTTTGTTAGTCTGCCTGTTCTGTTCCCCGCTCTAGCTCTGGTGAATTCTCTTACCCTCCCACGCTTCTGACTATACCCAGTGCTTATATAAATAAATAAATAAATCTTAAAAAAAAAAAAGAAAGAAAGAGGATAGCTTTTCATTAAAAGAGCAATTGACTATTTTTAAGGTAAGTGATAATATTTTATTCTCTTTATAGTTAATTAAGATTCCACCTCACTTATTGGCTAAATCAAAAAATACATCAGCATCTATTATTTTCTCTAATAAGAGAGTCTATTGCACAGGATCCTGAAGAGGTCCTGGCTTGGTCACCTTGGTCAAGCAATTACCTTTCCCTCTCAATGTCTTAGTGTTTCTAAGATTATAAGTAGTCATAATCATCCTCCTGTGGTTGAAATATTGAAATATCACAAATTTCAAATGAGTTTGGTTTGCAGAGCCCCAAAAAGTCCAAAACTGCAAGAATCCTCTTGGGCCTACTGTTTTTTGTTATCTCTTCCCTTCAAAGTTTGAGAACAGCAATGTGATACAGCCAGAACTGCGCAGGTATGGCTGTCACTAGAGGAAAAGTCATAGCCATGTTCTCCAACCACTTGGCTTATAAACTTCCAAGATGGTATGAAAAGTAGGGAAGCAAGGGTTTTGTATTTGTATCCCAACCTGCTTCCAGCCAGCAAATTTCCTCCCACCAAAAAAAAAAAAAAAACCAAGAGATCCCCACCACAAACTGGCATCCTAAGGGTGTCATCAACAACCATGATTAAGGAAAATATCTCAGGATATCTGTTTAAGGATGCTTCACATGCCCACAAACTGAGTCAAGAACCAAGTCAAGAACCATGTCAACCCCACCTCTACAGCATGGTTGTCACACCCCAAGAATACATATGACCCAAACCTCCATCCCACCCACCCCACAAGTCCCAGACACACAGAAGTCTTAAATTATTCTTAGAAATCTGTGGCCTTGTCCACCTTTTTGAGGTAAATGGAGAACAGGGTTATAGCAGATCTGGAAAAAACTGCTGCCAGCCACGCTTCTCCTCATGCTCAGGGAAGTGGGAGGCCAAGCACAGAGGTAGAACCAGGGCCCTTTCAGCACGAGCCTCTCTTGGCCTTTGAATTTCTCCCCATCCCATCCCAGGCCTTGCCTTGGCACTCACTCCTTCACGCGACTCTCCACACTTAAGCTGCTTAACTTTGCACTAACAACCTCTTAATTGCTGGGTTTCCAAAAAAGCCTTCTAGAAATCTGGGTGCAGGCCCGCCCACTTACGGCCCTCATACTATGGAGTACAGCTTGAGGGAGGAAGGGAGGGTCGGGGCACCTCCGCCTAACGCTTGTCTGCCAAAAAGCTCTTGCTTTTATTTTTTAATTTTATTTAAAAGCCGGATCCAGGGTACCCAAGACACCACAATAAAATGACATTAACTGTAAAATTACATTATTAATTCTTTAATCTCACTTGAGGCTTCAAGCTGTTGCTATGTCCAATTATCCATATAACCACCTGTCAGAATCCCGGAGCTATTTAGCATTACCTCCAGGACAGCGGTGGGCCCGATGGTCCGTCAGGTCTGCCAGAGACTCGAAGTCCTGCTGACAGTGATCGCAGGTGTAAATTGACTCATCCTCCATGTCTTCATCGTCCTCATTTCTCTCCTCTTGACTTGTCACGCTGTTCCTGTCTTCCAGCGCACGGCTGGTTTTTCGATCACACTCCGGCTCTCCTTCTAGGCCTCCTGCCAACAGGAAGAATACAGTCCATGTCAGCTGATGGGGTCTTGGGAAAGGGTTTTAAAAGAGTCGCCTGGCATTTATTAAGATACATTTAATTACTCTACCTCCCAGGGTCCATTATTCTTGACACCTCTCAGTATATTAATATATGGATTTATTTTGTAGCACGTGGTGCCATAATTCTCAACTAGATTCTTTAATTCTTGGTGCAAATCTTCTAGGGGGATTTCCTGTCATTTTCCCTCTGTGCGTGGCTGCTAGGGTTGGGATCCATTGGGGTAGTGAAAATGCCGTAGCATTTTGTCTCCTAAAAACCCAGTCTCTTACACACTTCCCTAGAGCCTGTATCAGCTACTCCTAACTCACCGAAACTTTTCATCTCACCAAAGTCTTGCAATTTAGAGGTAGGAGAGCTCTTAGCAGCTTCACCTTCTGCACAACAAACCTCTCAAGGTAGTAATGTTGGCTCAGTGATTCACAAAGATGCCCTGATCCTAGAATGTGTCAAGGAAGCACATGTGTTTGCAGGACCACAGTCAAACCCCAAACTTAAAATGCACCTGAGAGCTCATTTACACCCTAGGATCAGCCAAGACTAGCCTTGGGATTGTTTAACCAATTTCTTTAAAAGATGATACCTACTCCCTGCTTAGCACTGTGCACACCAGTGGGCAATCTGTACAGGAAAGTGAGTTCAAAATCATGACAATGATGCCTTGCTTTTGTGTAGTGTTCTATGATTCAAATCACAATTGCATGCCCAGAGTCCCACCTCACAGCCTCATACAGGGTAGGGCTAAAAAGAGGTACAAGTGGTCCTGTCCCCCCAGGTCGTGCCCCATGCCCTCAGAGAGGGACATTGTTGTTATTCCAATTTCACAGGTACACAACACCTGGCATCCTGCCAGGGGGCCGCAACATTCCCAGCACCCTACAGATGTTTAACTCAACATCCTGACTCCTGTCTACTGCACTTCCCTGCACAGCTGTGGGAAATGGAACACAACCTCAATCTGAAAGATTAATAGGACACATCAAGAACTTGTAAATCAAAGTGCTAAGAAAGCATGGTAAATATAGCAGGAGAATATATCAGTAATCCCAATAAATGTCAGTGGATTAAACTTGCCAATTAAAATACAGAGACTCACAGTGGAAACTCAAAGTGCGTGTGGTCTCTTTCCACAGTCTGTCCTGGAAAACAGATCCACCTGTTCAGAAACTAACAGAGATTTAAATTAAAGAGACCTCTATTATGTATAAAGATATATCTGTCCATTATACGTGCCAGCAAACATGTGAGTCCACGTGTGCGTTGCACATAGCATTGCCATGACAGAAAAACGCTTGAGCACAAAACCTTTAAACCCCCTAGGGCTGGTCGCCAAAGCAAGAAAGAGAAATGAAGCAAAGAATGTATTCGATTCGTAGTGGAAGCCACAGCTTTATAAATATATTTCAATTTAGAAACAGATAACATTATAAGGGCTCTATTTCTCCCTTCCGCACAGAACACGCGCTTCCAAGCACCTGACATCAAAAACCAGAGAACACGAATCAGCTCACCCGAGAGCCAGCTGCCGCCTTCGGTGGCGGGAACGTGGCATGACACGCTGCTTGGAACTGCACGGAGGCAGTAAAAATCAATGTTTCCATTTGTGGCCCATCAAAACATCTCTCTTCTTACCAATTAGGGGATGTACAATTTTTAGGTTCTTTTATTATCAAAACACGCCAACTCCTGGCAATACAGAAATCCCATTAAAAGCCAGGCAGCATATTTATCTCAAGAAATCTGATCTGCTGCGGTGGCGACAGTAAGAAATAGAAAGCAAAGAAATGAGAAATATCATTTGGAGCCTTCGGTACTGTAAGTCATCACACAACCATGGTTACACAATCAAGAACCCGTCTCTGAAATTCTAGTTTACAGTCTCTTCCCTTAATATATTAAAAAAAAAAAAAAAAAATGTTCTGAAGGGGGGAAAAAAGAACCATAATTCCAGCTTTATCTACTTCAGCAACTCTTGAGCTAGTAAGTTACATTCAGCACCACGCCTGTGCTACTTTACTTAACACACACAATTTAATAGACATATTTAAATTATCCTCTTGTTATTTTTTTTCTTTGGCCATATTTACTTGGCAGCACTTTCCATAATAGCTCGTCTAATCCACAACTGGAACCACAAACATTACAATGCATTTGATCTCTTTAAATCTGGTACATCCTGTCGACTCACGAGTAGATAAATCAGAATGTCAACTCTTGGGTTTTTATAAGACAAAAACCCATAAAGTCATCCAAGAGCATAAATCTGTTTTAAGGAACTGTCACCTCCCCTGCCGCCAGCTACTAATGGGAAGGCAGGGTGACTGCACAGAAAGGGGAGTCAGCAAAGGTTGGGACCTCGTCATCTGGGGTCCCAAGGGACCACATGGCTAGCCATTCTGACCCTCAGGAAGCCAGAGGGGGACTACTCAGGGGTCTGAAGAAGTTTTGGGGAGTGGAACTCTCCTGACAATGCCATCCCCCAGGGCCCCTCTGCTGTTAGAATTGGGACCCCCAGAACAGGCAACCCTTCATCCCCCACGAATTTTTGAACCTCACAATAGGGAAGAAAAGTAAACGGGATTATTTTCTCACTTGCAGAAGAGACAATGGGGCTGGAAGAGGGAGACGGGTCACCCAAAGCCATGGCGAGGAACTGAACCCTTCAGTCCTGATGGTAAAAGCAAGCCCTTCCCCCAGGCCCCAGGGACTGCTTGAAGCCCGGGCTCCCCAGAGTCCAAGAGGTGGAAGTTCTAGGGACAGAATAAAGGCGCCCACCCTCTTGGGAGCACCCTGGGCTGTTCTGCCTCCAGCCCCAACCTGACCAGCTGCATGGTAAGCCCCTGGGGGCCACATGAATGAAGCTTCCCTACACTCCTAGTTGATCCAGCTCCAGCTGGTCGCAGTGGCCCTGCCTGTCCCATGTCCCACTCTTGTCCAGCCCCGGATGCCCCTCGGGTCACTTCTGAGCCCCAATCCCAAGTGCTGCTTCGAGTTCCCAACGCCGTGACCCCCTGGGTCAGAGCTAGCATCGCCCTGCTGGTCCTGCGAGTTCCCCTATCCAATGAGGCAAAGTCTGCACTTCTTTCTTCCAAGGCTTCCAGGGCTGGGAGAGACTTCCCCAGATAGGCCAGCAGCACCTTTCCCTCCAGACCCACCCAAGTTCTCCTGAGGGTTACCTGGAGCAGCCTGAAGCAATTTCCAACCAGGCCCTGTCCCTTGGGGCCAGGTGCATGAAAAAAGAAAGCAAACTGGGGCCTGGCCTCTCCACCCACTGTCCAAGCTCCACTGGGGACAACTCAAAACCCAGCTGCAGGGAGCACCTGCTGTGCTGGCCAGGCAGCTCTGGGAGTGGGGCACCATCACATCCCCATTTCACAGGGGAGGAAACTGAGGTGACGGAGCTTGAGGGAGGCCATGGTAGCAGGTTTCAAACACAGATGTGCCTGACTCTTAACCACCTACCACACGGTCTCCTCCCAGTAGAGACCCAGAGCAAAACTGAGCCAAACGTCAAGGAATTTGTAAACCCCTTCAAAGGCATACGCACTGTCCGTGTCCCAGCAAGGTCTGGTCCTTGGTCCAGCAAGGGCTCTGATGACCTTTGACATCCTCATCTCCTCACCCACACAGACCTTCAATCCCTTGAACTGCAAGCTTGTTGCACCAAGGGCTTCTCACCCCGTTCCCTATAACTCTTCACCTACCCAGGGGGCACCCACAGGCCTAAGCATCAATGTCAAGTAGGTCCCTTGATGCATCCCTTGGCTGGGTACACATGGCAATGTGCACCCACACTTCTGTGGGCTGTGGGGAATGTACCGGCACACGTCTTCTGTAGTAAGATGCACTCTCCCTTCAAGAAGAGGGCCGATTCCTTTCCACCATTCCCCTCCGGACTGGCTGGCCTCCGAGACTCCCTTGATCACTAGAATGCAATGGAAGTGACGTCCCTGGATTTCTGAGGCCCTGTCAGAGTCCAGCTGTAGCTTCCCGGTGCTCCTGGTATCTTGGGACATGATGCCTGGGAACCCAGCAGCCACACTATGAGAAGCCCAAGTGACAGGGAGAGAGTGTGGGTGCTCCTGTTGAGCTCCACAGCAGGAGCCCAGCACCAACCGCCAGCCCCCGAGTCACCGTTTGGGACGTCCTGATGGTAAAAGCAAGCCCTTCCCCAGCCAAGCCCCCAAATGACAGCAGCCACAGCCACCATATTTGACGACATGTGTAAAAGAAATGCCAAGTGAGCCCACTAGCCCAGCACAGTCAGCCCACAGGCCTGATCCTGATTGCTGCTTTAGGACTCTGAGTTTGGGGGGCGGAGAGCGGGGGGCTTGCTACACAGCTAGAACACTCGCCCACCAACCAGATGGTCCAGGATCTACAAAGGTGGGACTATATTTGGTTTTGCTCCACACGCCTCCCCAGCCCTGGTGCAGATGGGCACACACAAGCAGGGAGCAGGGGGAGGAGGAGGCCTCCGTAAACCTTGACTAAATGAATAAATTGGTTTCAAAGAAATAAGCCTTTGAGTATCAACACAGGTGGAGGACAGGAGGAGGGACGTGGCCACCTGCTGTTTATTGTTCGTTAGTACTAGGCTGAACCATGTGGAGTCGCCATCTTAGAAGAGTCCAAAGTTCGCAGTCCCACTGGTTCCATCCACAATGCGATGGGGCCGCTCTGTTCTTCCTCAACACAGGAGGAAGAGAACACACCAAGCAGCAATGGGCCCCCATATACCACACCCAAGCACACCAGCCCCTGTGTCTAAGACAGGGGCTTAGGGAACTTTCTACATGAGCAAAGAGAAACAATAACAAAGCAGGAAGGAATGTTGAGCAAGAAAAGTGGCCCCAGAGCTCTGAAGGAAGAGGCAGCAGAGACCTCAGTGGAGAGGCAGCTCTGCTCTCCACAGCGCCCCCTGCACCGAGTGCAGCTGGCAGCTGT